TACTGATGGTATTTTTCCCAGAACTAGAAAAAATAATGCTAAAATTTGTATGGAACCACAAAAGTCCCTGAAGAGCCAAAGCAAATTGAGGAAAAACAAAGTGAGAGACATAATGCTCACTGATTTCAAATGACACTACAAAGCTACAGTCATCAAAACAGTATAGTACTCGCACAAAAAATAGACAGAGGGCAGTGGAACAGAATAGAGAGCCCAGAAATAAACCCACGCTTTGTCAAGTTAATCTTTGACTAAGGAGGCAAGAACATACAATGGGGAGAAGACATTTCTTCTCTTCCATCTCTGTTCCGTCTCTTCAATAAACCGTGCTGGGAAACTGGACAGCTACCTGTAAAAGAATGAAACTGGACCACTTTCTTATATCATACACAAAAATAAACTCAAAATGGATTAACGACTTAAATGTACAACCAGAAACCATAAAACTCCTAAAGGAAAACACAGGTAGTCAGCTCTGGGTCATTAGTCTCAGCAATGTTTTTTGGGGTGTGTCTCCTCCAGCCAGGGCAACAAAAACAAAAGAGTTTGACTACATCAAACTAGAAAGCTGCACAGCAAAGGAAACCATCAACAAAATGAAAAAGACACCTACAGGGAGAAGATACTTGCAAATGATGTAACTGATAAGTGGCGAATATGCAACATATATAAAGAACTCGTACAACTCAATACGTAAAAGATACGAACAATCTAATTTAAAAATGGGCAGAGGACCTGAACAGACATTTCTCCAGAGAAGACCTCCCGATGGCCAACAGACACATGAAAAGATGCTCAGCATCACTCATCATCAGCGAAACGCAAATCAGAACCACAACGAGCTACCACCTCACACCTGGTTGGAAGGGCCTTCTCAAAAAGAGAAGAAATAGCCAATGTTGGCGAAGACACGGAGAAAAGGAAATCTTCACGTACGGTAGGTGGGAATGCAGACTGGTGCAGCCGCTGTGGAGGACCCTGTAGGATGACCATCCTCAAAAAATTGAAAATAGAAAGACCTTACAGTCCAGCAATTCCACTTCTGGGTATTTATCTGAAGAAAACCAACACGTTAATTTGAAAAGATACATGCAACGCTATGTTTATTGCAGCATTATTTACAAGAGCCAAACTATGGAAGCAACCTAAGTGTCCACTGACAGATGAAGGGACAAAGAAGCTGTGGTATATATACCCACTGGAGTCTTAGCCATAAAAAGAAGGGACTCTTGCCATTTGTGACAACATGGATGGACCTAGGGAGCATCATGAAATAAGTCAGAGAAAGGCAAACGCAGTGCGTTTTCACTTACGTTTGAAATCTGAAAACTGAAACAAATGAACAAGGACAACAACAAACCTGAAACAGAAAAAAACTCAGAAAGACAGAGAAGCGTCCGGTGGCCGCCAGAGGGGGGAGGAGGTGGGCAAGATGGGGGAAGGGGACTAAAAGGTACAAACTTGAGGTTATAAAATAAATACGACAGGGGTACCACGTGCGGCACGGGGGATCCAGTTAACAGTTTGTAACAACTGGTGTGGCAACCACAGATGGTGATCACTTCATAATGTCTAGGACTGGTGACTCCCTGGGTCGTGCACCTGAAACTAATATAATTTTGTTTGTCAACTACTCTTCAATTTGTTAATTTATTTTTTGAGAGGGGGGCGGGTGGTGATGAGCAGGGGAGGGGCGGAGAGAGAGAGGGAGAGAGAGAATCTCCAGCAGGCTCTGTGCTGTCAGTGCAGAGGCCGACAGGGGGTTCCATCTCACGAACTGTGAGATCATGACCTGAGCCGAAGTCGAGAGTCGGACGCCCAACCGACTGAGCCATCCAGGCACTCCCACTTCAGTTTTAAAAGTGGTGGTGGGGGGTGCTTAAACCTCAGTGTCCCTATCACTCAGGGTCAGCCGTGAGGGACGGTGGCTGTTGAGGACCAGAAGGTCAGTCCCACTCATAGGAGGTTGGGGGGAGAGAACCACAGCCCAGATTAGGGGCAGCTCTGGGTGCAGAGACAGCGTGTTGGGCCCTGAAACTACCCATCTGAGCTTAAATCCTCGCTCCGGACCCCAGCCCGCTGAGGGCCGGGCTGCGATTGCAACCTCTGTGCATGTCCGGGCCCTTACCTCCGGTGGATGCGTGGTTACCCTTGCATCGTAGGGTTGTTGTGAAGGTTCCGTGAGACAAAAACGTGAGAGGCCCTTGGTGCTGCCAGAGCTTTCTGTGGCCGTGGAGCTGTTCTCTGGGCTGTCCGACCAGAGAGGGAGCCAGCCCGGAAGCCTTGAGCCCCCGACCCTGCCTCCCCCGTCGGCTTTTACTAGCGCGTCCCAGAGAGGTGGGGTGATGTGTGCGAAGGTACTCAGCCACGAAGCTGCCAGGATCCGGGCCGCATCCCTGGCTGCGACCGGAGGCCCAAGGCAAGACCCGAAGCCATTTCCTGAGTCTGAAAAACAGCAAACTGCAGAAAGGGATCAAAAGCCTAGTCCTTAGGACAGAAGCTGGGTAGACCAGGAGTCGATGAGGACGGAACCGGACGGAGGACGGAGGTCCGAGCTGGTCTGTAGGGGGAGGACTCGCCGGGAGGCATCTGGTCACCACACTCTCCCTCCCAGCCTTGTTCTTGCTCTCCTTCCTTCTAGCAGCAGCTGGAGAGAGGCCGAGGGGCCCGTGGAGAGAGCGTGTCAGGTCTGCAGCGACCCCTCGTGGCCACACGGACAGCAGGGAATTCGTCCTGGAAGGTGGCTCGCCACCCACCCAGCTTTCTTTGTTGAGCTCTTGGTCAGTGCGCAGCCCAGCCCTGCCTGGGGAGCTCGGGAAGAGACGGGCTTATACTCGGTACAATCTTTGTGCTTCTTTACCTTTTTTTTTTTTTGTAACGTTTATTTATTTTTTGAGACACAGAGAGAGACAGAGCGGGGGAGGGGCAGAGAGCTAGAGGGAGTCACAGATTCCGAAACAGGCTCTGGGCTCTGAGCTGTCAGCACAGAGCCCGACGTGGGGCTCGAACCCACAAACTGCAAGATGGTGGCCTGAGCCGAAGTGGGGCTGAGCCACCAGGTGCCCCTTTCAGTAGTTCCTAAATGCCTCCATTATTCTATTTTGTCACAATGCATCATGATTGTTTCATTGGCCTCTAAGGCAAGAGTCCCAAATGTGTCTTTCCAGAGAAGGCGGTAACCCCCTGTTTCGGGACGTGGGGCTAAGCTGTAACTTACCTGGGGGCTAAGCTGTAACGGGTGTGCAGGACTTGAAAAGTAAGGACGTGCCGATGGGATTCACACAGAGGCGGATCTCGGGGTGGCGATTCAAAGGAGCAACGCAGGCTAAGTGGGCCTCCGGCCAAAGAAAGTGACCGTCCCCTCCCGTCACGGAGGAAGGAATACGGGTGGTGAATTATTTGGTTGCCAGGCTAACTCAGAGTCAACCAAGCGCCTTTATGTCAGAAAATCTCGCCTAAGATCCGCTAGCATAGAAATACACACAGCGCCGTGCTTCCCAATGCGTCTGGCTGTGCGGCACCTGGAGAAAATCACATTTCAATGGAACACCGGGTGACGGGATATCCCGGGGGGGGGGGGCTCGGAGGCTCCTTAAACTCCGCGTGTCAAGACCGCACCCAGCCTCTGCCTCCCAGCCTGGTTCTTTCCTGATGCTTCCTGCGTTGGTCGGTCAGCAGCACCACTCACAACCCTGCTGTGCAAGTCAGAAACCTGCTGTCACCACTCTGATTTGCCCCAAAGTGCAAATTAGCTCAGCAAAAATGTTCCCATGAATGGCACCTTTGGGATAGCAGCTATCGTGTGTGTGTGTGTGTGTGTGTGTGTGTGTGTGTGTGTGTAGAGAGAGAGAGAGAGAGCACACGCTTTGTATTTCTGTTGTTCGTACTTTCCCCACCGCCTGCCCCCACTGCCAGTCTGGCTAAAATCCTGGTAACATCCCAGATTTCAGTTTATAGAACATTCTCACACAACCCCAGCCTGACCGCTGTGTCCCACCCAGGTTGGGTCAGGTGCACATACATCCTGTCCCTGCTCTTAGCACGTCCATCCCGCATGCGTGGCCTCTCGCACGCATGTCCCCAGGACTGCCGGCTTGCGGAGGGCATGGCTGTGTTTGTCTCGTGCTTTTCTGTACCCTCAGCGTCTGGCACGGAGCGTGGCTGTGGGTGGAGACTGAGATGGGAAACCGACCCCGGGGGGCCCTGCTCCTGTGCAGGTGCGGTGGGAGGGCTGCTAACTGGGGTCTCACGGGCTCTCCTTCAGGCCTTCCCACCCTCTCCTTCTCTTATTCCCAAATCAGTGGATCTTAGGTGAGATTCCCCGGCATAAGGGTGCTTGGCTGACCCTGAGTGAGCCTAGCATCCAAACAATTCAGTACCTTTGCTCCTCGCTGGTGGGTCTGCCACTCAGTCTGCAACTTCTGTCCCTGCTCTGCCGTCCGTCGTGCATGCCTGTGACATTCTTCCCTGCCCGTGTGGTCCTGGCAGCACGTGACTGGTGTTCAGGTGTGCTCCAGGGAGGACAGCCCGGACCCGAAGCCTCGGGTCACCGACAACAGACTTAGAAAGTAGGTCGGGCGCCCGGGTGGCTCAGTCCGTTAAGCTTCCGACTCCTGATATCTGTTCAGGTCATGATCTCATGGTTTGTGAGTTCAAGCCCCGCCTCTGGCTCCGCGATGGCCTGCTTGGGATTCTCGCGCTCTCTCCCCTTCTCTCTCTGCTCCTCCCCCCTCCCAAAATAAATAAAAAGAAAGAAAGTAGGGAGGAGCCCTGCCCAGAAGGGGCTGGGAATGGACGGAGCTGCATTCTTCCCTGGAGATGGGAGAAGAAAAGTATACATAATTCAAGTGATGAATTGGATTGTTTTGGGTTCTCTGTTTACCACCGTCAAACATAATCTATTTCACACATTTATACAAAATGCATAAAATAGGTCAGACTTCATGTTTTGCGGTTTGCTCATTTTCTCCTCCAGTTCCCTGGGCCGACGCGGCCCCCACATGGAAGCGGAAAGGCCGGAAGCCGTGCGTGCTTTGAGGCGGTGGATGAAGGGTTTCACACGCTGGGCCCCGGGCTGGATGCCGGTGAGCAGGCACAAGCCGTCAAGAGGCCGGGAGATATTTGGGAAGGAGCGTGGCATTCGGGGTCAGACAGGAACCCCAGCTCGGCTGCATCCGTAGAATTTGGATCTCATCCTCCTCCCTCCCGCCACCCGCCCCTCTCGGTGCTGATGTGCGGGGGCACCCAGACGTCATCCCCGATGAGACAGCCTCTCCCTTGGCCTCACTCGCTCCTTCCAGCTCCCACCCCACCTCACTCCTCCCTTCGCTGCCCGGCTTCCCCAGGGTGGCCCACGTCTACCGCGTCCTCTGCTGGAGTCACGCCCCGTCCTGTCGTGGAGGGTCTGGCTCCGCTAGCCACACCTCTCAACTGACTGTGCCCCGGGTCCCAAGGCTTTAAACAACGCGTGGTGGCCCCCAAATCCCTGACCGACTGACCTCGCGGGTGGACTTCAGGCTGGAATATACGGGAAGCCTCTCCCCCTCCCCTTGGGTAGCTCTCGGACACCTGCTGCACCCTGTCCTTCTTGGTGGCAGTGGACCAAGACGCCCACCGCCCTTTGCAGCACCCCTGCCCCCCTCCTCCTCGGTGGCCTCGCCTCAGCAGACACCGCCAGCAATGACTCCAACAGAAACTCTGGGGTCACCTTGATCTCGCCCCCAGTTCCACTGGCTCCTCTCCAAAGTGTGCCTCAGACCCCCCCTTTCTCTCCCCGTCCTCGCCGGCCCTGCCTCCGGGGACCCTCCACGGTCTTTGCCTACGCTGCTGTGAAAGCCTCTTAAATTCTCTTCCCGGACTCTGCTCTGGCCTCCCGTGCGTGTCACACACAGAAGAAAGAAGTGACCTACTCAGAACATAAACAGACACAATGTCAACACTCCTCTGCTTAAAACTCCCACTGTGCCTCCACCTCCAGAGCATCAAACATACCCCTTTGTGTCATGCCCCGCAGGCTGGACCCCGTCTGCCTCTCAGGCCTCCTGCGAGGCCGAGGCCTTCTCTGTCTGTGCGTCCGTGCGGGGGGTGAGGGGTGTGTGTCCTTCAGTTCTTCGAGCAACTTCCAGCTCCTTCCTCCTCGGGGCCTCCTCTTTGCTCTTCCCCTCGCCTCTGGGCTCTGCCGTGTGTGTGCACAATGGAATCGAACATTCTGGAAGGCAGAGCAGGTGACACAGACACCTGGGTACCCACCATCCAGCTCTATTACTTTAAATACAGTAATACAGAATCAGCCGAGGCCCCGCCCCCACCCCCGCTGTGTCTTCCAGAAGTCACCCCTGAATTTGGTATCTGTCCTTGCCCTATTTTTGTACTTTCACGACACGTATTTGTCCCTCAACTATATCTAGTGTTTGGGGCACATGTAAAGTTGATGCAAGTGATATTTTATTGTGGGAGGATCGGGTATGGCTCGGGAGATGGGTCCGCGCTGACGCACGTGGCTCTAGCTGTCACCGCCACCTTGGCCCTCATTTCATGGGATACCTACGTCTAACTTCATTGATTCTCCTAATGATGGATAGCGGTGACAGTTTTCGATTTTTGGCCATCTTAACCGCAGCTGCAAAGAACATTTGTACACGTCTCCTTTGGCACGTATTTGAGTTTCCCTAGGGTAGACCCTTAAAAACAGCCTTTCAGAAGAAAAGCGGACGCGCCCCTCCAACTCGGCCAGGCGGCGCCAGGTGTTCATCCCCGCGGTTGCACCTGCCCGGGCCTGGGCGCCGTCGGGGCTGCCGCGCTCGGACGCGCCGCCAGGGGGCGCAACGACGCGCGCCGCCGCCGTCTGGGCCGCGCCTGCACCTGCTGGTGCCCCACGGAGGGTCCGATCCCAGAGACGCGACGGCGGGCGCTCTGTGGCCCCGGGTCACTGAGGGGGGAGGGGGGGATGTGGCCTTAATCCTTCTTTCAACCCTCTTTTCGAAAGTGAAAGCAATACAGAACAAAAACTTCCCCACCTTGAACTAAAACTGTAAAGGACCCAGGATGTGAAAACACACATTTGTGTGTTTCACACCCGGAAAGTACAATGCCAGCATCTTAACGTGTATGTTTGCTTCAGATGTTTTCTTTTTAGGAAGTTTAACATTCCAGAGTTTGCTTGGAGTTCTCCTCCCTAGTCCTTCACTTAAACTCTCCCCCACACCCCACCCCTCCAGCAGGCAGCTAAGCCCCTGGGTTTGAGCAGTGGCTTAACCAAAGTATTAATTTCATAAGCAATTATATAGTAGTGTTTGCCTTTATTCACACAAATGGTTCTGTACCTAATATTCTGCAAGCTTCTTTCTTTTAAAAAAATTTTTTTTTAACGTTTATTTATTTTTGAGACAGAGAGAGACAGAGCATGAATGGGGGAGAGTCAGAGAGAGAGGGAGACACAGAATCCGAAACAGGCTCCAGGCTCCGAGCTGTCAGCACAGAGCCCGACGCGGGGCTCGAACTCACGGACCGCGAGATCACGACCTGAGCAGAAGTCGGACGCTTAACTGACTGAGCCACCCAGGCGCCCCTGCAAGCTTCTTTCTTACACACCCAACACTGGTCCCACGGCATAGCCACGTCCACGCCTGTGTATTCAGTTCAGTGTTCATCCGTTCTCCTAACGACATATTTTAAGATTGTTTTCAGGTTTTGGCCATTTAAACAATGCTGTATATACACTCCGTGAGGGTGGAGATTTTCGTGGTTTGTTCACGCTCGGTTTTGAGCTCCTAGAAGCGTGCGATATGCTAGGTGCTCAGCACATCTGTATCGAGATTAATGAATGAATGAACAGCCTCACACACGTTTCTAGGCTCACATGCAGAATTTGCCCAGAATATACATACCGGCGTGAAGTGGCTGGGATTTCCAGGTGAGCTGGCCACATGACTCTCTGAAGAGTGCTGGAGCAATTTACAACCCCCCCCAGCAACTTGTAAGCTCCCGATTTCCTCTGTGGCTTCTGGGTTATCAGATGAGCAGAAGTGGATTGGGGCGGGTTGAAGGTCAGTCACCCTCAAGCTCTCAAGGGTGCAGCCTGACGCCTGCATCGTGGGCCTGGAGGTCTCTCCACGCATCCCCAGCCTCCTTCCCTTCCCGGAGGGTTTTGAGTGCACCTGCCAGGCCAGACCCAGGACCCGCAGGACTGAGGAGTAAAGTGTGCAGACTTAGGCTCCCGTGCGGGGCAGGAGAGGGCTCCCTGGGTGCCCGTGCTGGTCTGTTCTTCTCCAGGCCTCCAGGTGGGGCCCAGGGGTGCTCTGGTGTTCACAGCTGCCTCGATTCCACTGAGAATCTGCGTGTTCCTGCGCTGGGGGCGGGGGCGGCCTTTGGAGCCCCCGGCACTGCCCCTCCTTGGCACCCACCGTGCCCTGAACCTGTGGGAGAACATACCATCTGGTCTGTCTGCTCGTCTATACTTGACAAATTGACCACCACTTGACAAAAGGAAGAAAGTATGAAGGTCAGGGGACAAACATCACGGGAGGGGTGGGGAGCAGGGGAAACTTTGAGCTCATGGGGCACCCTTGGCCTTGGGGCACTAGGGAGACACGCCAGGGCACTGGACTGAATGCAGAATTGGGGCCACCACCGCTGCGGACCTTAGAATAGGGTCAGTTGGCTTAGGGCAGCGGCCCGAGATTTAAAACGCGACACCAGCGACTTGGCCAGGGCCGTGGCTGCGCGGGAGCGGGTGCCAGCCGCCGTGGGAAAGACACGCATCTCTAGCACGCGGGCGCGACACTCGCTTGAGGTCCTTTCGCATTTGACAAGCATTAAAAATCATAACCCGCAAGCCCAGAGGCTGGAACAACCCCTTTACTTTCTCTGGCAACGCGTTAACGTCATTAACTTTCAGCAAGCGGGGAAAGCGGGTTCTTACTTAACTCGCATCTTCTGAAACGTCGTAAGGATCAGCAGCGTGAGGCCTTGTCTCTCTTTGGCAGGCGGGAAATCACAAAGCACCGCAGCGCCGCCCGGCGACGGGGCCCTGCTGTCGCGCGGAACTGAAGAAAAAACGCGGAGCCGGGTGGGGTGGCCTCTGCTCCGAGGCCTGTGGCGCCTGCGCACTGGCGATCGGATGCAACCCATCCAGACCCTCCGGCAGGAGTGTCGGCGGCCCCTTCACGGAGCGGATCTACCCACGTGTGTTCCGCCGCCCGCTGGGGGCGCCTCGGCGCCAGTCGGCTCCCTGTGCCCCGCCCTGTACTCATCTTTGCGTCACACTTCGGGGCACGCGTGCCACGGATCCGCCACTAGATTATATGCCCTGGATTATTCTTCCCGGTTCTGCGTCTCGGGGCAGGTACCCGGTCAGTCGGTTGCCACGTGTTTACGGAGCACCTGGGTTCCAGGCATTGTGCTGGGCGCCGGCAGCATGGGCGAGGTCCCGACACTCTAGTAGGAGAGAGAGACAATGAAAGGAATCATAGGTGAGCAAGGGCCCGTGAGGGAGAAGGACAGATGCTTCGGGAATATGTGTGCGCGTATGTGGGGGGCGCTTGGAAACCTTTTCCCAAGAAACGGTTTTAAGCCCAGACCAAGGGCGGGGGCGGGGGCGGGTGTTGGGAGCTGGGCACAGTTGGGGACAAAGCCTCTCTGGCAGAGGGAACAGCACCCCCCAGGCTGTCATGGGCAGAGCGCGGGATACCTGGTCAGTCGTGCGCGGGACGGGGTCAGCTCAGCAGGCGGGGTGGCCCAAACCTTAGGCATTCCCAAGGTGGTCAGGCCTGCCCCTCAACTGGCTCCTGTGAGGTGATCTCTGAGCTCTTGAAACATCCTGCCTCATAAGGACGTCTTTGGGCACCTGAGACCCCGGGCTGGGCAGAGGGTGTGTGCTAACAACGTGACTGTGTGGACGCCAGGCTGCTTGGGGCTGGGCGGCCTCACTCTGCCCTCTGGGGCTGCAGACCAAGCGAGCGGCGAAGGTCAGTCATGCCAGGGCTGCGTGCCTTTGTGAGTGCCCCCAGCAAGACCCCTGGGCACTACTAAGGCTCCGGTGAGCCTCGCCGTCAGGCAGTATTTATGCATTTTCACAATTCCAGGGGAGATAAGTGTGCCCGTGTGATGCCATTGGAAGCCCATACCTGGTTTCCCCGGGCTCTGTCCCTTGTGCCTTTCTCCTGTGCTGATCGTCATTTGTGTCCTCTCTCTGCAATAATATAATTGGTAATATGACAGCTTTTTTTGTGAGTCCTTCTAGCAAGAGTGGTCCTGGGGACCCCGAAAAAGACTGGATTCTTTGGGGCCTCGTAGGTCAGGGTCAAACGTGGCGTTGTTCTCTCTGTGCACTTGATCCCAGTGTGGTTACTTTATTCAATTCTACTCCACGCCCCAGGCTGCACCCAGCTCCAACCAGCCCTCACAACAGGTGCCTAAACACACAAATTGGTGAATTTGCTTGGCGTGGGCCTGGGGAGCCCAGCGGCACAGAAGACGCACTGCAGGAGGTGAGCAGTGCCACATGTGGGACATCTACACTGGTTATTCCCCATCTGTCCCACCCTGGGTTTGGAGCAGACTCACTACTCAGCACGCATACTATGTCTTTAGTATAAAAGGCAGGGGGGACATCCCAGAACTGTTGGCGGTGCTGAATCCCACACACCGAAAGCTCAGAGGTGACATCACCACTTTGTTTCGTGATCACATATCCAGGGTGACAGAGTGAGTCAAGGGAAAAATAGGGCGAGAGGGTGGCCGAAGCAATTCAGGGAATTTGTTGGCACAAAGGATTCGGTTATCAAGGTTGCAAATAAGTCATCAACTTGAGGCATAGACGTGCACCAAGTGTTTCTCAGATTTCTGCTTGCTTGCACAAGCACAGGCCTTCTCGAGAGTACGCCTCGAGTCCATAATAGCGGGGACAAATTTTAAAGTAATGGAAGAGGTGCTTATGTGACTCACTTCTAAATCAATAGGGGACTATATTTTTGACGGTGCAGGAGGCTTGAGGCGGAAGCCGGCTGGGGTGGCGGCCAGTCAGGCAGGTCAACACTCCCAGGACAGAGCGGCGGTGCCCGAGTGTGGTGGTGGGGGGGGGGTGCGTGATCCCAGAGCTCCACCGGGAGCCTGTCGGTCCAAATACTCTGTTTCTGGGGAAACACGAGATGCTGCTGTGTGTTTTCTAATGAGAACAATGTCCCCTCTCCGCGCCTGAGAGACAAGGCATTTACAGTTAGAGAAACCCAGGTTTGAGTCCTGGTCTAGCTATGTGACTGGGCATGTTATTCAAACTCTCTGGGCCTCAGTTTACTCGTAACGTGCACTGGTCATTATCATGACCTTGTTCGTAGGGTCGCTCTGCGGATCGACTGCGATAATGTCTGTCGAGCACTTGGCATGGAGCCTGGCACCCATTAAGGGCTCCAATAACGACAACAAAGCCAGAAAGGAGATTCGAGTTTTCAATAAATCATCGGATATTTTCAAGGGCTCAATGACATTCACACGTGCCTCCAGATCGTCCTGCTGGGTGAGGACATCACAAGCTCCGAGTCCTGTAGTAGCAGCTGTGACAGAGGTGACCTGATGACCGGCTTCCCTATTCGGGACTTAAACGCTGGGGCTGCATTTTAAGGAACAGCCACAGCTCGGATGCATTGGCTTCAGCGTCAGGTGCAGTTTATTCCCTGACCTCCTCTGAGGATGGACAGAGGGACGTCAGAGGTTGTGTTAACACGGCCCTCGAGGCCGAGCTCTGACCATGGAGACAGACTGCCACACGTGACTGGGGCTGGGGGGAGGTCGGGCGGCGGGAGCAGGGTCCCTGTTTGGTCCCAGCTCCGTCGCTGCAAATGTGGGCAAGCTAGCCAGCTCTGCACGCCTCAGTTTATCTATAAAAAGGGAAAAATATCTGATTCGCAGAGTGGTTGTAAGGAGAAGAAGGCGTAACACGATGTGTGTAAAGCAGCTGCTACGCGGTCGGTGCTTCATAAATGTGACGGTTCAGTCACCACGAAGCGTGAGATGCATTCGTGGTCACTGACGCTGTTTCGCGACGCAGCAGTCCCGTGAGACCAAATTCGTTTCCGCAGGAAAAATGGCAACGCAGACAGCAGAAGTTTTGGTCTGAGGCTCGGCGCAGGAGTGCGGTTCATTCTGGGAAATGGTTCGTGATCTGGATCAAATCCCTGGCCCCCTGACGTGCTCATCATTCTCCTGGGGAGGCCTGGGGGCCCGGGCCCGAGGAGCAGACTCCCTTCACCAGGGGGAGGAGGGGCCGCCCCGTGGGACAGGTCCCTACGCGGTGGGTGCAGGATACATGATGCAGACGGATCTCTGCAGCAGGAGGACGCATGTCCCCCCCCCCCCCCAGGGCGGGGACACATGACCTGGGAAGAGCCCACGGAGAAGTACCCCTGTGGGGCTTGCGGCAGGCGAAGCGGGGGAGGAAGAACCAGGGAGGAGTGTCTCAGAGAGCGGCCCGTGCGCCCCCTGTCCCGATTCTGGTTGCTCGCGCATCCGAACAGCTTTCCGGGAGAGGAACCGAAACGGCGCCGGCCGCAGAACCCGAATGACGTGGACGGATGTCTTCCACTTAGAACAGCCTCCATCGGGCAGGGATGGCAAGCCGCCTGCCAGGCCATAAACGTGAGCTTTAAAGACACGGGGGTGTGAGTCCACATCACTGCAGACGTTGAAAGTGAACGGTGTCTGTCACCATCTTGGAAAGCCACCCTGGGCAAGGGGGCGGGGCTGGGAGCGGGCAGCAGGAACCGCTGCAAGACGGAAGCGTTTGAGGGCGTCTGGCCCTTTCTCCGCCCTCGAGACGTGTGCGTCCACAGGAGAAATGCCCAAGCACATTCCTATAGGGAACGAAAGCTCATGGTTGCCTCTGGTGCTTGCCGGGCTGAGGCACCGGTTCCCAACTGGGGCCAATTTTGTCCTCGTGGGGGACATTTGGCAATGCCTGGAAGCATTCTCGAGGTCCCATTTTTTGTGGGGGGGGGGGTAGGCACGCTACCGGCATCTGGTGAGTGGAGAGGTCACGGATGTTGCTAAACACCATACGGCGCACAGATGGCCTCGCAACCAAGAAGCATCAGCCCTAGATGCCAGCGGTGCTGAGCTGGAGGGACCCTGGTTTGAGGGGGGGGCACAGGCTCCGTGTCGGCGGGGGTGGCCCGTTCCTCGCACCCATCATCTCAGTGAAGGTGGGATGGGGAAGGGAGGCCTGTAGCCCCTCCTCAGTGGTCACAGGAGAGGCGAGCAGGCCTCCGCTCCCAATCCCCAAATATCTGGGGGTGGGGGTGCGCCCAAAAGGCACCTCAGGCTAACCTCCCCAGGTAGGTGGAAGGATACGGGCAGAGTTTTTCATCTCAAGTCAACTCTTACTTATTTAAAAACCGATTTCCTTAAGCACATAATTATATGTTTATTTCCCCGAGGACCTCTTGAGGCAGCAGAGATCTGCTTAAATTATGGGGACGGAGGCTGCATAGGGGGCTCTAACGGGGTTAGAAAAATGTTCCGTCTCCCCTGAAGGAGCCCCGGGAGGAAGGGAAGGGCAGGTTCCCCTCCTGCCGTCCAGAGGACAGGATGCAGGGGGGTGGGAGCGGAGGGCAGGAGTGTGAGGACTGGCTGTTCGACAGGGCACGGCAGGATCAGAGCAGACGTGAACCCTGGGGTGCAGCCTCGAGCCCCCACTTCCCTGTTCCCATCCTGGTAGGTGGAGGGGAGGGGTCCGGGGAGCAGGCCATCCACAGGCTTGCTCCCTTCACGCACGTGTGTGCACACACACACACGCACGCGCTCCCCTGTGGAAGGGGGCTCTGGTGCACGCACGCACGCACACACACACTCCCCTGTGGAAAGGGGCTCTGGCACACGCACGCACACACATGCACACACACACTGCCCTGTGGAAGGGGGCTCTGGCACATGCACGCACGCACACACACACTCCCCTGTGGAAAGGGGCTCTGGCACACGCATGCTCACACATGCACACACACACACGCTCCCCTGTGGAAGGGGGCTCTGGTGCATGCATGCACGCACACACACACACTCCCTGTGGAAGGGGGCTCTGGCACACGCACGCACACACGCACACACTCCCCTGTGGAAAGGGGCTCTGGCACACGCACGCACACACATGCACACACACACTGCCCTGTGGAAGGGGGCTCTGGCACATGCACGCATGCACACACACACTCCCCTGTGGAAGGGGGCTCTGGCACACGCACGCACACACACACACCCCTGTGGAAGGGGGCTCTGGCACACACACACGCACACATGCACACACACATGCTGCCCTGTGGAAGGGGGCTCTGGCGCACGTGGAGAAACAGGCCCAGGCCTCCGGTGAGGCGGCAGGTGGAACAGGTGGCCGGGCTTCGGTGCATCGGTCTCCGAGCCGCTTCCGGCTCTGCTGCAGCCTGAGTGCCTGCAACTGTGGGTGCCTCTCACGCGCGGCCTGGTCGGGCTGGCGGGGACCCAGGGGAGCAGGATGAAGGACGGATTACTCGGCTCTGATAGTCCTCAGCGGAGAGGGGCCCTTAGTTAGTCCGCTGCAGGACTGGAACTTAACGGCCTGTCTCCCTTCCGGAGACAGCGGCAAGACTCCAGCCGTAACACTGCGTGAGAGAGCAGAAAGATGGGTCAGGAGCGGGCGGCTGGGGCCTGCCTCTGGCCTAGGCTATACAGGACGGGGTCTGCGGTGGGGGGGCTGGCCTCCTTCCTCTGTGTCCACTGCATCTGGAAGGCAGGTCTGTCCCAGCGCCCCCGTCCCTGCTGCGGCCCTGTGCGAGCCCGTCCCTGCAGGAGGTGGTGAGTCATCTCACTCAGCTGGAGCCTCCGCACCTGACAAGGCCGGGGACGCACAGCACTCAGGACGCGGTTCAGGACCAACCTCTGCCTCGTGCAGCCCGGCCTGCCGCACAACAGGGGACGGGGATTCAGACAGAAGTTACAATAAAGAGTCTGTGTGGCTGGTCTACCCCATTCATCCTGTGTCTCAAAGGCTCTGGGCCTTCTAGAATGGTCTCCAACCGGGAAGGGAAGGGAACATCAGAGAAACACGCTAAGAGTCATGGCCCCACATCCCTTCATCTAACCATCAAATAGCCCTCTCCACACAACCGCCCAGGCTGGCTCGGTTCCAGCCTCCCTGGGCCTGGGGCTGGGGGACAGCGTCATAGGCAGGGGCTCACGGGGGAGCCCAGAAGCCCACGGCTGGTGAGAGACGCCTGGTCCTGGGGAACTGGCGATAGTAGTTATCTGTGTGCACAACACCCAGTTCTTCTCCGTCTCGAGAGGGTGGACAGGATGACACAGGAGGGGCATGCGGGCCCAGACTGAGGGGTTGTGTCCACAGGACACTTCCGGCCTGTGAGCATCAGAGACCCCGGGCCCCTGGGGATCTGTGACCTTTTCGCTGACCGGCTCCCCAGGAGAGACATCAAAGATTGTCAGGGAACAGACACATAGCGTCTCAGCATCTTTCAGGGGCTGAAAATGTGTGCTGTGGTCCCGGCCCACCCTTCCACTTTCTAGAAGCCTGGCCTTGGGCCTGAGCTACCTCACCCAAAGAACAGCGATGGCCCTGCTGTCATTCCTGGGTCACAGGGCTAGCGTGAGGCTCCAGTTAGTTGGCATGTGGGAATGCTTTGTAAACTGCACGGGGCTATGCACTGCGAGTTGGCTCTTTGAAGTTATTTATTCGGGGAAGCAGCGGAGGCCCCCCTGCCCCCCCTGCAGTGCACCCCAGCCCTCTCTTTGGTCAAGGCCTGCGTGCAGGGAATGGCCACTCAGGAGCGGGAGGGCCTGGTGCTTCCAGTGCAGGTCAGGGCATGGGCCAGGCAGACGGATGCCGGGGGCCCTTATTTAGTCCGCTGGTAGAACTGGAAGACGGCTTTCTCCTGTTCGTAGGTCTCGATGGAGCCGGGTCGAAGGCGCCGGATTTCAGCAATGGCATCTCCCGCGGCCAGGCCCCTCTCTTTCACCAGGTAACAGGCCAGCATGGTGCCAGTGCGGCCAAAGCCCAGGGCACAGTGCACTCCCACAGCCTGCGAAGAAGCAGCTTGGTCGGGTGGAGCCTGGTGCCCTCCCCCCGCCCTTCCCTTACACCCCTCCCTCTCCCTGCAGCTGCTGCTTCTGGGTGAGGCCCAGGACCTCACAGGCCGGCTCAGGCCCCTGGCTCAGGCTCTCAGGGGCCGGAGAAGTGACATCAAAGTCAGGGAGGGCTGTCTCGTCCCTCGTGGTTCAGAGGCTGCCAATCACACCCCAAGTAGCTGGTTCAAGAGCCGGGTTCCTGGCCTGCCCGCCCACAACCCTCTACCTGCGCTGTCCAGTGATACCCCCACCCCCCCCCCCGCCCGCCTCCCCCCTGTCCCGCCCCCCGCGGAGCGCGGAGCCGCTGCTCATCCGGATTGAGATATGACATAAAGTACAACCAGGTTTTGAAGACGTGGTACAAAAAAGTATTAAAATATCTCATGAAGAATTTATATTGATTATATGCTGAAATGGTAATATTTTTGACTTACTGGGTCAACCTACATCATCAAAACGAGTTTCCCCTCATTCTTCTTTACCTTTTCAAAATGTGGCTGCTAGAAACTTTAAAATTGCAAATGTGGCTCCGTTATATTTGGACTAAGTGTGGCTCCGGAGAGCGCTCACGAGCCACTGCCTTCCACCCGCATGTCGCCCCAGAGCGGCCACCTTTCTGCCTCTCAGCTCACAACACTCGTTGCTTCCCTGCGGGCCCTACCCCGCACTGCGCGCCTCCGCCAGTCTTCCCGTCCTGGCCCCTGGGCGCTCCCTCTGCTCCCCGAGTCCAGCGAAGTCCCTCCCTGCCCGGCCCCGCCCAGTCCCCCCGCAGGCTCCTCCCTGTCCCCCGCCCCGCTCACCCCCTGTAGGCCCCTCCCTGCCCTAGCCCCGCCCTGTCCCCGCCCAGTCCCCCGCGAGCTCCTCCCTGCCCGGCCCCGCCCCGCTCCCCGCTGACGCTTGCAGGCTCCTCGGTGCCCGGCCCCGCCCCGCCCCGCCCCGCGCAGGCCCCTCCCAGCCCCCCCGCTAACCGCCGCAGGCCCCTCCCCGCCCGCTGACCTCCCCGCGCGCGTTGGCCTCGTCCACTATCCGCACGAAGCGGTCGATCTGCTCGGGGGCCGGTGGACAGAAGTCCGGGATGCGCAGCCGGTGCAGCGTGAGGCCGGGGCAGGTGTCGCTGTGCGGGGGCCCGCGCTCCGTCAGGGACACCAAGTGCCGCACGCCCCGGTCCAGCAGGAACTGGTAGTGCGCGGGCAGCCGCGGCAGCGCCAGACCCGCCAGCCGGCCCGGGAGCACCCACGAAAAGTTGGGGGGCTGCACCCCCATGGCGGCGGCAGGGCACGCGACCGCGCCAGCCCCTCGTCCCCCGCCCGCCTCCGGGGCCCGGCACCACCCACCCGCGCCCTGGTACCACGTGGGCTCCGCGCCCCGTCCCGCCGCGGGGATTGGCCCACCCGCTTCGGGGGCGGGGCTGGGGCGCCGGACCGAGAAGACGGGCGCCGCGAGCCGGCTGCAGTCCGAGGCAGCGCGCTCGTTGATTGGTTGGGTAGCCGGTAATGGGCGGGATTGCCGCAGCGGTGCTCACGGGGATTGGTGCAGCTACTCAAACAGCCGGAGGCAAACCTAGAGCCCGGGATGAATTGCTTTCTGCGCACGACGCCACCCGGGGTCGGGCTCTGCTGCTCCCTGGCGGCCGGTGGCAGTTATTACACCAGTGTCCCCTGCCCCTGCAACCCCAGGGCCTGGCCTCATGGAGTCTTTCTTCACAGTGGACGCCTAGCAGATCTTCCGCCTCCGGGGAGGAACCCCTTCTATGATGACCGACTGGTCTCTTCAGTGACTTGGTGAACCCGTCCAGCTGGGGCGATCACCGCTGCGGGGACTCTTCTCATTTTCTATCGCTGGAATTCTTCAAAAAACTACGGGGCTGCCATCTGGTGCCCTGAAATCTTACCCGGGAAGGAATTAGAGTCCAATGATGATAATAACCCACAGCATAAGAATTACAGTTTATTGAGCATATGCTACATGCCAGACAGTGTTCTAAGCACTTTACCTGTAGGAACTGATTTAATTGCCACAATAATCTTATGACGTGGGTAATCTAATGCACCCTGCTTTACAGGTGAGAAAACTGAGGCTCCAGAGAGGTTCAGGAATGCCACCGATATGACTAATGTCCGGGGATTTGACACCAGACAGCCTGGCGCCGGCATCTTTAACGCCCCAGTTTTGTTGGCTCAAGTTAAATGAAAGGATGCTGCCTCTTCACATAACCATCCCCACACTCCCAAATCATCTGCGTGAAGCAAGTGCAGCACTTCTTAATTTCTTTTCATATTTCATGACTTCCAGGCTGAGTCACCCTCCGGTGGGGAGACCAGAGTTCATCAGCCTTGCTCGGAGAAGGTGGGGACCCAGCTCTGAGCACAGCGCCTTCCCTGTGATCTGACCCGCCCACATCCTCTTTTGGACAATGCGCTTGCTAGTGATGCAGACTAATTATAATCGTGAAAATAGTTAACCCTCCTTGAATTTGCTCATGTGCCAGGCCCTGTGCCAGGCGCTTTCTGGAAGAACAACACGCGGACGGTATTTTTATGTCCCTCTTGTATGGAGTAATCTGGGGCTTAGACAGGTTGGTTAAGCTGGTCAAGGACACTCAACCAGTATGTGGCTGGGCTGGCTGAGCCGAGGCCTCCCTGAGCCCAAGCCCAGGACACTGAGCCATAAAGATGCGCTTCCCTCCCCCTGTCCCCTCCAGCCCCTGATACACACATTGGGCCATTGAAAGCTCTGGTTCCAGCAATATGGAAAGGAACTTTCTTCCCCCAAAGTTCAGAGGCTCTGCTGACCCTGCGGAAGATGCACTTACCGTTCACCCAGACAAGGCTGAACATTGCCTCCCCCTCGCTCGCTCGCTGGGTGCCACGAGCTGAGCCATTTCCCCTTCCCCCGCCTTCCCTGCAACCCGAGCCTTGATGAGGCCCTTCCTTTTGGCGCTCACATTTCCCACCAGCTCCTGACCAGTCTTCTTGCCTATCCCCATCCATCCATCCCTCCTTGCCTGCTGTGGCTCCCCAGGGCTTCTGGCTGCACGGACTGTGGAGAGAAGTCTCCAGGGCTCCTGGGGTTGCACATTTCTTGGTCCCCCTGTCTTGCTCTCCCGTCTTTGCAGCCCTCACTCGTCAGAGGAAAACTTCCCACATCCCTCCCCGCCACCCGGTGCCCCTTCCTTGTCTCCTTGAGATCTACGTCAAAGCCTACCTTCTCCGGAGCTATTTCTGGGGAAGACAGAGATTCCCTTCTCCCTTGAGCCCCTAACAGTGACTCTCCCCTTGTGCATCCTCCCACCTGCCTGGGCCCCCTTATGGAGAGCGTGTAGGAACTCCTTTCTTCTCTACAACTGTGCCCTTCCCTTCCAACAGAGCCCCGGTGAAAAGGGCCCAGGGTCCCTGCCTTGGGCTGTGTCCCGTGGCCAGGGGTGCTGTTTAACTTTTTGTCTTGGGCCTCGGGAGTCTCAGACTGAAAGGAAGACCCCTCTGTGATGGTTTCCCGGCCCAGACCCTTGCCACTAACCACGTCAGCGCCTTGCACGCCCCGTATGATACTGGGTTTCCTTCAGGTGTTACCTGACGCTCAGGAAGATTTAGGCTTTTTTTTTTTCTTTTTTCTGGGCTCGCCTCTCACCTTGTATAAATACGTACTCCCAGGCAACAGTTATTTTATTGCATTGTGGTTACCTCTTTGTGTTGAAGCCAAGGCTGCATCATTCCGTCTTTGAAAATCGTCTTTGAATTCCACAGATCTAACGTGGAGTCTGATACGCAGTGCTCAAAAGTGTGCAGTGAACCAACGAATGGGGGAGAAAAAAGAGTGCATAGGCCAGACTGAGAAGACACACTTCTGGGAGCGTACGTGAGTCTCCGGGACTCTGTGACAACGCGTGATGTGACGCTTCTTAATCGCGTGGATTTGAGGACTGTATTGGGTATCCTGTAACACCTTCTTACGGTGTGTTTTTTACGTGTCTGTGCTTTTAAGGAAAGAACACCTGTGTCGGTATGATCCTGGCTAAGTCTAATTACTAGTTTTGTTAAAGAGGATAAATCACCCTTGGTTTTTTTTAGAGCTCCTCTCCTGTTGTGCACGCGTGTGTGGTTGCGTGTGTATGTGAGTGTGTTGGGGGTGGGGGACATATTCCCGGAGAACGTTCTGTTGGCACTGATGGTGAGCTGAGTAAGAAGCTTAATTTCCCCGACTTGAAGGAATTTACAACATACTTACGAGGATTTAGACTCAAATGTCATTGTTCTCGTATAATAAAGCACTAAATTCCTCATCAAAGATAATCAGATAATATATATTAAAACGTTAATTGTGTAGTAAAAACAACAAGCACAAAGAAGTCAGCGGGGGGAAAGATAAGCCTGGGTTAGAATCACCAGAAAGTCCTGTGACCTTACATTTTGTTCCCTCCATTGAGAAATCCTACAAGTCACTTTTCATTGGACCACCTGGGTGGCTCAGTCGGTTAAGCGTCCGACTCCTGGTTTTGGCTCAGGTCATGATCTCGAGGTTTGTGAGTTCGAGCCCCACGTTGGGCTCTGCGCTGACATTGGGAAGCCCCCTTGGGATTCTGTCTCCCTCTCTCTCCGCCCCTCCCCCACGCTCTCTCTATCCCTCTCTCTCAAAAATAAATAAACATTAAAAAAAACAATAAAAATAAAAAATATATTAGAAGTAGCTTTTCATTGACAAGCTCAACAGAACAGTTTGGGGGCATCCTGTACCCTAGCTCCCCCTTCCCCAGTCCATACAAATGTTTTGACCTACTCTTACACGTTGAGATCTCAGCTCCCTGACTGGCTTCATGCCGGTGGCAGTTGGAAATGAAGCCAGAGTCAGAGAGTTCCTTGCTCCAAGTAAGCCTCTGTGTCCCCTCAAGGCAAAGGACTGCTTGGGCTGGGCCCCTGGATTGCAGTCAGAATTCTCAGCATCTTAAGTATGCTGCTCTTCCTTTGTGTAAACACATTTCATACCTGGAACCTGATGATTTGGTGATTGGGATTAAGAAGGGATGGTGTGATGCTGGCCTCCAAGGTGGCCCCAGCGAACCACCTCCTGCCTTGCCTCGTCCTTTCGCACAGTGACAGAAGTGTAGCCGGCAGGATTCTGTGGAAATGATGGCGGGTGACTTCTTAAGTCATGAAAGACATTGTGGTTTTGCCTTGGAGAATCCAGCTGCCATGTTGTGAGGACACTCAATGAGCCTTATGGAGAGATGAGGTGAGGAACTGAGGCTTCATGGCCATATCACGCGAGGGAGCTAGCTGTTGGAAGTGGATCCTCCAGCCCCATCAAGACTTTAGATGGCCAGCATCTTGACAACCTCATGGATTCCCTGAGCCAGAACCACCCAGCTAAACTGTTCTCGAATTCCTAACCCATGGGAACCGGGAGATAATAACTATTTCTTATGCCATCAGATTTGGGTGTGATTTGTCTGCAGCAACAGGTAACTAATACGAGGGGGAATATCCAGATAGAATCAGATCGAATCAACTCAAGATGTAAAATAAAATCAGATTTGTTTTTACAAGAAAAAGTTATACCATAAACAGTTGTGGTCTAAGTGTGTCGTATGTGCATGTTTGTTGGGGATGAGGTGCCGTGGTAGATCAATGCCAATATCCCATTTAGAGAGCCGGGCTGTGTACAGGATCGAGGCTGAGCAGCTTGAGTGTGGGTTGTGTGTGTGTGTGTGTGTGTGTGTGTGTGTGTGTGTGGTGTTGGAGGTATGGGGGTTTATGTGGTATCCGTATAGTTAGGGATGATATACAAATTATTTAATTACTGCCCGTGGCAAAGGAAGCAAGCTATCAGAACAGACCCTCCACCAATCAGCTCCGTGGCTGTAAACAAAGAGTGAAGCCACCCTACTCTCTCTTGGATGCTCATCAGCACTGAGTGTGGAGGCTTCCACACGGTCTGGGTGTGGCCAGATTACCTCGGACATTTTAATACAGGTCTTTCCACAAGATGGCACTGATAGCTTTTCCTTGTTTTTCTTTGTCGTCTTGTTGAAAAATTTCCGACTCGTATACTGTTACAGAACGTTCCATGACTGGACCCTCCCAATTCACCAGTTGATGCCTTGTATTCCCGACAATTCCATCACCTTCATGACACTGTAAATTTTTCCTTTAGAGCATTCCAGGAGTTCACTGAGACCCTAGGTTGAGATGTTGGGGCACCGTGTTTACACCAGAAGCTGTGATCAGGAGCGTTGGAGGTGGGCAAGGGCAGGGGATCGGGCTTTGGTCCTTGGCAAAGCTACCAACCCAGGCAGGTGAGAGAGCCGAGTCAGAGGAGTGGGAATGCTCACGTAGGTAAGAGCCACCTGCGGGATGGAAACCCTTTCGGTGAGCTCGCTCACATCTATGGTTCATGCTGCTACAGCCTTGGTTTTGCCTTGAATCTGAATGGAAGAGATTCCTGAAAAATCTCCAGGTTGCACTTTTCATGTCATAAAGGTCAAAACTGGAAGGAAACTCGGAGCTCTCCTGGATTTACCTCTCCATTTCTAGGTGAGGAAACTCATGGGTGGTCCAGACTGGGGACCCCATCCATTCTATCAGAAGTCACTGGGTCACGAAACTGTGTAGCTAGACCAAGTTACTTAACATTTCTAGGTCTCAGTCCCCTTGCCTACAAAATATAGATGTCTACAAGAATACTGATCGTTAAGGATTATTGAGAGGGCCGAACATGCTAGGAACGTGTAAAGTACCTAAGCAAAGTGCCTGCGCATCATTGGTGCTCACAGCATGGAGGGTGATGCCACCATTATCCCAGGTGATTCAGAGCCTGATGAGAATAAGTGAAGTAATCACACTTATGCTGAAATAGCTCCAGTGTGGAACACACACTCGTGAGATGCTGTGGTTGGCAGCGTTCTAAGACAGGTCCAAAGGCCCACACCCTTTGGCGAGAGGATGTGGCTCCCATGATTATGTTCGTTGCACGGCCAAAGGGGCGCACATGGCAAGGTGGCCTTGAGGAGCTGAGGCAAGGTCTCGGCTGATGGCTACTGAGAAAGCAGGGAGTTCAGTGCTACAGTTGCAAGGAAGTGAATCCCGTGTCTGAATGATCTTGGAAGAGGACCCTGAGCCTCCAATGACAGTCACAGCCCGTCTGGCATCTCAATTTCAGCCCCATGAGACCCTGGGCAGAGGATCTAGCTAAGCTGTAATTGGATATCTCTTTAGCTCCCAAGTTTGTGGCGGTTTGTGATGTAGCAATAGACCACGAACGCAGATGCCCTATTGACTTTCTTTCTTTTCTTATTGTTAGTATGCTGGTTGCAATAGTAGATCTTTGAGGCTTCGGAATTGCTGTCTTATGTCTTGTGTCTTGTCCCCTTGTTTTAAGTCTCCCAGTGTCCAAAACTGTAAACTGCACAGGTCCGTTGTCCGGTGCAGAGGCAGCAAACATAGTGAATCAATGGAACTCAGGACCTGTCAGTATCTTCTTCCCTCTGGTCGCCTTACCAAACTCCTGGCCATTCTTCTGAATGCTTTGGGACCAGTCCTTCTCAGAGTGGGGCCCACAGTTGCGTGTCACCTGGGGGGCTTTGAGAAGTACAGACCCAGGTCCCGCCCCAGACCTGTGGGATCCCCAGGTGGTTCATATGCACATCTTCGCCTAGAAGTCCCGGTGTAATTCCACTTTGTTCTGCGGCTCTGGGGACCTCTTCTGCTTGACAGTCACCGATAGCACCTAAAACATGGCTTGGTCATGAGGGGACATCTCTAGGTGTCTCCTCCCTGGAGCTGGGAAGCTTTGACTGAGCAGCGGGTCTGTGGGCAGAGGAACCAACCAGTGCAGACAGAGGCCTCGAAGAGGCCCGACTGGCCTGGGTAGGAGCCCGAGGTCATTTAGTAACACCGAACAGTCCCTGATGGAAACGATCTATTGCTTTCTCTACAAGTTAGGCAGATGTCCAAGAAAAATATGCTTAGATGTACATTGTGGCTTTCCTGTTTTGTTTCAAGGAAGGGCTTGGTTCTCAGATTTCCTTTCTGGAGGCATTCTTGAAACATCATTTTCCACTCTCTCCACCTTAACAGCACATTCCAGGCATGACAGAAATTGCCTGATTTATCATTCCCCCCCCCCCAACCTCCCTGCAATTTGGGGAAAAGGGGAAGAGAGCCACGGACCACCATCTGTCACATCCCGCAGCCCCCCAACAGACCTCTTCCCACCCAGACCCCATCCCTCTGGCATCTTCTTAGGACCCATCAGCCCCGTGGCCGTCTGGACTGGCCTCCACCATTCCAGCCTCTACACGTTTCCCCTCTGTGCAGCTACAGTGACTTTCACAGAACAGAGATCTTACGTTTCCAGTTCTCCGAGAACGCCTGACTGCCTTCAAGACAAAGAAATCCCAATTGTGGACTGGCCTAGAAAGCTCTCTGGGATGAGGCCTCTTGCTTTTCTCTTCAGCCCCACCTTAACCTCACTCTCTGCAGCAATGTGTCCCTGTCAGACTGCGTAAAGTAAGGGTCGTTGGAGAAGCAGAGCTCTCTACCCGTCTGTGCACCTGCTGTTCCCATTAGCCGTCCTGGGCTCACCTTGCAACTCCTCACCTCCCTCAAGGTCCACTTTGGAACACAGCACCCTCTCTAGGACGCCTTCCCCGCACCCACACGATCGTGTTTTGTAGCTCTCTTTGAGCTTCTGCAGTTATCTCTGTCAAAACTTTTATTATGTTACCTATCGAAAACATCTTGAAGCATTTATTGCTTTACCATACAAATGACGTGTTTTTAGTCCAAAGGCATTAAAAATATATATGCACAAAAGAAGAAAAGAAATGATCACCTCTTACCTAATTATATGAGTTGGCGTTCAAGGAGAAGCCGCTGTACGTTTTCCAAGTATGAAGGGAAGCAATACAAAGCCTCTAGAGGTTTACATACCCATGGGATGGGATGTGGTCCCACATGATTGATCTTAGCCTGGGACATGTGCGTGAGAGGCTCTCAGAGACCTTGCCTGGAAGCCACTCTGCTACGAAGCTGAAGAATGTCTGGAAAATCCCCACCGATGATCTCAGTCTGCAC